ATTGACTCAAGCGCCCTCGAGACATAGCCAGACAAGCCACCGCTGCACCACCGCCGCACCACCACCTACAAATGGTCTCACCGAGCGGCTAAACAACACAATCGCCGACATGCTGGCCATGTATGTCGACGTCGAACACAAGATGTGGGATGCCATCCTTCCGTACGTAACCTTCGCTTACAACACGGCCGTGCACGAGACGACGCAGATGCAATGGTACAAGTTGGTCTACAGAAGCTTGAACCCTGCAACGACGCTTGACGCAATGCTGCCCAACGTCGCTGACGAAGAAAACCTCGACGTCACCACCTACCTTCAGTGCGCTGAAGAAGCCCGTCAACTCGCCCGCCTGCGCATCACGAATCAGCAGATGACGGACCACCGCCGTTACAATCTTCGGCAATGCTTCGTGGAATACCAGCCCAGTCAACGTGTTTGGGAATGGACGCCGATACGCCGACGTGGGCTCAGTGAAAAAAAAAAATACTCCCAAGCATTTCCCCGAAGGTGAACATGGTAAGTGCGAATGGACGGGGTGATGCTATGAGAGGTAGTGAAGTTAAAATCCGTTGGCATTCGCCAGTGAGTTAATGTAAACTCCCCCGTGTGATCACATTGCGATTCCCAGGAAACATTAGACTCTCTCGGGAAATCTTGGTGAGTTTAGGCGTATATGTGAGAGTGAATTCGCACTATATTGATGTTTATGTCCGCGGCCCGCTTCGCCCGCTTGCGCTCGGCATCACGGGCCCTTCGCCGCGCTGCCTTGTCTTTAACCGGCGTGACATCTTCAACGACGCGCGCAATGCTCATATGAGAATGCATTGTACTCGTTGTTGGAGGTATCGCAGTCGAGGTTGATGCCTCCGATGGGTCCATACCTATGACGACTTGCCAATCTCGAGCAAGCCGTGGCTGCGTGGGCGCGCGTAGCCACGGAGCGGAGGGCGGATGTCACACACCACGTGATTGCGCGCGCTCCGCCCTCCACTCCGTGGCTACCAAGGAGGATACATAAAACTTGCTGGAGTGGATGGGACGCTGTGCGAGTGAAGCCAGCCGCCGCCATCTTGCCAGTGGCAAAAAGCGTGCTCAGCGCCCTCGCGAGCTGCTGATTTCGTCCGTTCTTGTTTCACCTTGTCGGCTTGTAAAGACAAATGGTTTACAATGGTTGCCTCTTGCGTCATTTACGGATGTGCCAACAGGTTGAAAAAAGGTTGTGGCCTCACATTCCACCTGTACGTACACGAAAACGTCTTCGACATAGCCATTCCGCGCTCGTTACTAAAGGGAGCTATAGCTGACGCGATCTAAGCGTGCAAAACATAGCAGTCCGGATTTGTTTTACAGGTTTACTAAAAATCCCGTAACGCAGAGCCTCTGGGAGTGGGCCGTTCGCCGTGAGAAGTAGAATGCGAAAGACTGAGATCACTTCGCTCTGTGCACTTCGCGCCAGAGTGCTTTGACCACCTCTTTGACATTGAAGGGAAGCATGTGAAATGGGGTTATGAAGTGGCATTGAAGGCACTTCAACGTGAAGAAGGGTTGTGGCTCGGAAACAAACTTACGAAAGTCCACGTCCAATGGGAAAAGCAAGAAAATGAAGGTGTGATATGCTGTACAACTGAACGAGTGCCTCAGTTGCCGACGCTTTGGACTTCTGCGAACAAAAGCTAAAGCTGCCGCAATTCAAGGGTGCCAGCACAAGATCTACGTTTATTAGAACTTTTGATGGCTTTTTTGACATCTTAAACTCCAGGAACCCGCTGGCAAGGTCGTACAAAGCGCCCCTTCGGCAGGGGAACGAAGCATTCTGGAAGTCGTTTTTTTTTTTTTGTGGAGACTCGAACGTACATAAACGGGCTGAGAGATCCGGCAGTGAAAGAAGGACTGAAAAAAAAAACGGATTCATTGGTTTTTGGATACGCATGGCAAGCACGGAAAGAATGTTTGACAGACTTGTCAGCCAGGGTCAGCTGAAATACTTACTGACACACAAACTCAGTCAAGACTATGCCGAAAACTTCTTTGAATCAATGCGTGGATGAGGCGGCCATAACAACAACCCAACAGCTTCGCAGTTTATAGCTGCATACAAGCGTCTATTGGTTCAGACGGAAGTCACGTCTTCAAGTTCTGGACACTGCTCCCAAGATGTTCTTTCCGTATTGAATGCAACGACTCCTGCAGCCATGGTACATCCAAGAAGCAATCTCACTGACATGCGCTAGGCCCCAGTCCTGCAGCTCGATGACCACGACAATACGCATCGCATTTACTAGCCCGAAAGCTTTTCTGCTTTTGTCAATTCTGTGGTGCCATACATAGCAGGCTTCATTGTTCGAAAGGTCGAACTGCAACTACCTGTGAAGAGTGCATAGCAGCCATGCACTCAGATGAGCTGACACCTTTAATTAAATGTAAGAGGCGAGGTGGTCTTGTTTTACCGTCGCGAGATGTCATTAGCCCCTGTAAAGAAGTCGAGGACTGAGGTGGCTACAGGCTGAATGTGATTCCATCACAACGATGAAGTCAAGAGCAAGACACCTCATCCTGAAAAATTTATGAGCTTCCTCCGAGAAAAACTGGTTCCATAAACTAGAGCAGCACGTCCTAGACTTTGATACGCTTGATAATCAGGTTTACAGTTTGTGCAGGCAAATCGCTGAACAATACGTAAAAGTGAGGATACAACACATGACGAAGGAAAAAAAAAACGAGAATCGGTCAAAAGTAAGGTGGGACCACTTTTGACAAGGGCAATAATTTTCAACCACCAGTAGGGCACCTATGTTTTCGATTATGTGTTTGCTTTAGGCATCGCGATTTGATGCATATGCACTTTAATTGAGTTCTCTACATGCTACTTGGCTGCGTACAAGTCGCAATAAACATTTACAACCAGAGTTACTTGTTTTCGTTGCTTTATAAACACACGAGTCACTTCACCCGCAGCGCGGTGAAGCATTAAATTTGCAGCGCTCGGCTCTTTTCTGCCACTGGCAACATGGCCGCCGCATGCTCGGCGCGGCTTCACTCTCTCCCGTAGCGGCGCATAGGCGGCTTCCACTCCAGCAAGTTTTATGTATCCTCCTTGGTGGCTACGCGCGCGCAATCACGTGGTGTGTGACATCGCTGCGCCGTTGCTACAGACGCTCCTTTCCGCTCCTCGCGCCGTTGCTAGGGGAGAGGAGGAGGCGCACCGTGAACGACGGATTCAGGGTCGCTTTAAAGTGCATTCGCACTTGAAACTTCTGCGACGGTACTTCGGACGATACAGGATAGTATGACGTCTCGGCCCACTCGACTACAAGGTTGTCCCCGACGGCATTACGAGCTCTCAACGGCGCCGATCGCGACCGGAAGTCGTCCATGTCATGCGCCTCAAGCCGCATCATGATCGTTAGCGAACAAAAAGAGTGTATTTTGTTGTTGTTGTAATATTGTTGCTGTATCGTACTTCATTTGTACTTTCTTACATTATTATTGCACTTTCACTTTCTGTGAAAGCATCGGGACGATGCCTTTTTCAGAGGGAGGCAATGTCACGCTCCTTTCCTCGAGCTTTGTAATCACCCCCGTTATACTACCTTCAACGTAAACTGCGCTTGCGATGTTCGAAAAGCTTTGAGGCTGTAGTAGATCGTTTCGTTAAGATTACGCCGACTTCGGGAACATTACAGATTATTCTGGAACCTACGGCACCGCTAGCGATAACTCTAGAACATTTCATGGCAAGTGTTTAAATGCTGACGCGCTTCGCCGTTTGCCTGTTGATCAAAGGCCGACGCCCTGCTCGCAGTTATCAGTGCCGTTGTCTTGCTGTAATCTGACTTTCTTTTGACGTGGGCACAAGTTAGGCCTGAATAAACAGTTTATTATCCGACCGCCCAGTCTCCTGCCTTCAGCGACGTGACGACCCCATGACAGTGTGCGCTCAAAACAAACCTAACTACCCCATACCGGATACACTCTGTTTAATGTTGGTAAAAGTTATTATGAGTCCCGTATACCTACACCATATTCCAAAAACGTGCGAATAAAGGTGTGGCGCGCTTAAAAATAAACGTTATAGGCATGGATGACTTCAATGAGCATTCCTCTTCGTAAAAAAATTAGCCCGAATCTACACGTTACACTGTAAATGTCGTCGAAAGACGATAGCCTTGCGTCTGGAGAGAGTGAACAAAACGTTTATTTGATGTTCTGCGCAAGAAAATTGGTAAATGGTATTCTGCAGGCGCTGCGTTAGAGTGCCTCAAACGTGTAACGGAGGCGAACAAGTGCATCTAGGCACGTTAAACACGAGCGCCATCTGGCAGTTATTTTCGAAAACGAAGGCATGCGCGACCGCGGAGAAAGATGCAAGCGAATCACGGAGGTGGTAAGGTGTAGAATGCAAAGTGACGGGCAGCTGCCACCACCGTGCCGTCGTAGTGAAGCGTTGGAAACACATTCTTCAGCATCGCGTTGCACTGTCAGCGCAGCGCGTTAAACGCTACAGTCCTTAGAGTGTTTTGTGTGTGTGCTCTTCTAGTATAAAGGCAGACATACAAAACATAGACATGTTGTTAGGCGCCTCAAATATGCGCAATATTTGCTTTTTAATTGACAATCGCACAACTATGAACGTTAAATCTTAAGCAATATTGATGGGCGATGTTGATGGGGTAGGCCGTTTGGTGCCGTTTGAGGTATCGTTAGGGCGGAAAACAGGCAAATGTACAGACAGACATACAGGCAGACCAAAATTTTTCAGTCGAAGGTCACCAAGAAAGTCTATCGTCTTTAAAATATACCAAAAGGGGGAAAAGAGCTTTTGCAGGTTTGCTATACGACTATCTATGAGCCTCCTAGAAACATGCGAAGCTTCTGAGAACATTCTTACCTGAAAACAATGGGAGGCGGTTGTGTTTCTGTATTGTTGGTGCACAGCACATGTGCGAGGTGTGAGATACAATATTCAGCTGCCTTATTCACTGATTTATTGGCTTTGCAGATGTGTTGTGTGCTGTTGCCGCGTATTCTTCATTTGGTTCTTTTTGGTTTCAAGGCATGGTCGTAAAGGAGCTTTTTGTACTTCTCTTGGCCTCATATTCCACCACGTTGGAATGTAAGCTACCTGTCCTCAGCCTTCGAGTTTTGAGTATCCAAAAGGTAAGTTTGTTTTTGTATCAGAACTTATCGAGGTTTCATCGAATATGGCTTATAATTATTCTTCTCACAGCGATATCGAGTACTAGATTCGAGAAGTGGTATGAAAAATTGGCAGATCCCACGTACAGCGGGAATCGATGATATGCGAAGCACGAAGGAAAAAAAAGCTTGATATGTCACTTTAAAATGAGCACAACGTTACGACGCGAATGTAAATTTGTCGTGCATGACTTTCATGTCATGATTATCATGTTTTTACGTGTCATTTACCTTCGTCATCTATTCACGTCACCTGACACCAAATATGGTATATGTTGAGCTAGCAAAACTGCCGAGAACGCATCATGACCGTGGTACGTTGTCATGTTCATACATGACACGCGTGTCATGATAATCATGTTTGCACCAGTCGATATTTTGGTCATGCATTGAAGTCATGTAAAGCCAAATTCGGTATATGTGGAGCTAGCGAAACGGCCGTGAGCATGCAATGAGCGTTGCATGTGGTCATGCTTTACATGACATGTATATTGTGATTATCATGTTTGGACGTGTCAATTACCTTCGTCGTCTATTGACGTCACGTGATACCGCATTTGGTCTATGTGGAGCTAGCGAAACGGCCACGAGCACATCATGAGCGTGGTATGTTGTCATGTTCTCACATGACACGCATGTCATGATTATCATGTTTGCACAAGTCATAAACCTTCTTCATTCATTGACGTCATGTAACACCAAATTTGGCATATGTGGAACTAGCGAAACGGCCATGAGCACATTATGAAGGGCTCAATATACTCCGACGTAACGTTTACGCGCGCGCTCGCTGGGCGCAGCGATGCGAGCACTGCATTGTCTGACGCCAGGCGAAACCGGTGCGACCAGCGTCCGTCGGCGCGGCCCAGTGGCAACCAGCGCGAAATGCGACATGCTGCGTTTCGCGCCGATTGCGTTACTTGATAGCACGGCGTCTGCCTCTTTTCGCGACGGAGGGAGGCCGGGCGCGATCGATCGCGCATGTGTCAAAGCAACACAGCGCGGCAGAAAGCCAAAGCAACACATGGTGGCGCTGCGATGGATGGATGGATTGGATGGATTGATGTGGTTGTACCCTTTAGATCGGACGGCGGCTCACGCCACCTAGCCGTAATACATAGTGAACCAACAACTAGATTTACCTTTTTTTTCTCCTTTAAATAGTGAAGTTGAGGACTGGTACTTTGCAGTGAAAGGTTTAATTTTGACTCGCGCCTTGACTTTAGCCACCAATCAGATAACCTCCTTCTAGTTAATTATACCCGCTTAAAGTCTATTTTGTTCTCCCTGTCCCTAAACACCAGTGCTTTGAAAAACTCTGTGCCATCATCCTGAACTATAAAGTGAAGCCCTTTGCAGAACATTATCAAGTGTTCGGAAGTTTCGATTGATTGATTTATGGGGTTTAACGTCCCAAAACCACCATAACCACCTTAACGTGCACCCAAATCTGAGCACACGGGCCTACAACATTTCCGCCTCCATCGTAAATGCAGCCGCCGCAACCGGGATTCGATCCCGCGACCTGCGGGTCATCAGCCGAGTGCCTTAGCCACTAGACCACCGCGGCGGGGCGTTCGGAAGTTTCCTCCTCCTCTATACACGCACTGCATACCATGTCTACCCCCTCGTATTTGCCCTGATATGTCTTGGTTCGCAATACTCCCGTCCTGCCCTCAAACAGTAGAGAACTGCCCCGAGTATTATCATAGATACTTTCCTTGGCAATTTTCTGCTTAAAGTTCGATAGATCTCTAGTGCGGACTTCTTAATCATGCCAATTCTCCACATATTGGTCTCTGCTTCCTGCACCTTCTTCTTAACCGATAATTCTTTTTGGTTTGGCCCAGTGCTGTTTTCTAAGTATTTACCAGTCAATTTTCTGGGGCGCTTCCTCCATTTTGTATCAACATTCTCCATGTACAAGTAGCTCAAAACCTTTCTAGCCCAACGATCCTCCCCCATTTATCTCAATCGCTTCCCAAGTTTTATCTTGCAGCTGGCTTCCCTGCCCTCAGATGATGTCCATCCCATATCTTCTTGTACTCCCTGATTTGGTGTGTTCCCGTGAGCTCCTAAGGCAAGCCTACCTATTCCACGTTGCTTAATTTCTAATTTTGCTTGAACTTCTGATCTCATGCACAAGACCACATTGCCGAATGTCAGCCCAGAAACCACGACCTTTTTCCATATTCCTCTCACAACATCATACCTATTGTATTTCCACAGTGCCCCGTTTTTCATCACTGCTGCACTCCTGTTACCTTTAGTCGTAACGTATATTTCGTGTTCTCTTAGGTACTCGGTCCCATTGCTTATACATACGCCCAGATATTGGTATTTATCTGTTATCTCTAGCGTGACCACCTGTATTTTAATCTCACTACCTTCATTGTCATTAAAGATCATGACTGCAGGTTTTTCCTTACCGAATCTGAAATGTAACCCATCTCCCTTATTACTGCAGATGTCCATTGATCTCTGCAAATCTTCCTTGTTGTCGGCCATTAGCACTATATCACATGCGTGCATCAATGCTAGTAGTGCCTGTTCAATGAGGTTTCCTTGTTTGACGAAAGAGAGGTTGAAGCCAAGTCCTTTTCCTTCTAATTTGGCCTGTAGCCCTTGAAGGTACATTTTGAATAACAAGAGTCACAGAGGACACCCATGCCTAATCCCCCGTTTTACCTCTGTGGGCTTGGATACCTGTTTTTCCCACTTTATAACTGCCTTGTTGGTTTTATAGATATCCTTTAAAAGATTAGTGACTCCATCTTGCACACCTAGAGTGCCCAGTATTCTCCACTGTAACATTCGCCCAGCTTGCCATGCTTTTTCGTTTGGCTTTCCTTTTGTTTTTGCCACCCTCTGATTGGTTCGACAGCGCATAAAAAGCGCGTCGCTGAATGAATAAAGCGCGTTTGTCTCCTGGCACTGCTTGCGTCGTCTGTTCCTCGGCTCCCGTTGGTCGTTTCAGACGCCGAATATGTAACAGCTGGTGGCAGCGGTGGCAGCGGTTTGGAGCGTGCAACGGCGGTGGGCCTTGGCGTCCGTTTGGTGAGAGTACGGCTTGTTTGACTTCATTGGGAGCATTACCGATATTTTCTTGGTAGTAGATGATTTTTTGACATTGCTAGATTTAAGTATTACGTGTAAGAGTTACTTTTGTTATCAGCAGTCATGAATCTCGAGTCTTTAAGGAAGCCCAACCTTGTGTTGCTAGCTGAAGAATTAGGCATCAAAGTTCAGAAGTCAATGCGTAAGCCTAAAATTATCGAGGCAATATCCACCTGCGGAGTGGAAGATGACGAAGTAGAGGATTTTTGGAAGACAGTCTCTGCAATCGAAAGAGCAAGAGGTAGAACTTAAGTTGAAGAAGATGCAACTGCAGAGCCTTGAATGCAATGATAGCGTCGACATGCGCGGGTACATGCAACCTTTCAAAACTGGCAGTGACATCACTTTGTATCTCGACAACTTCGACAGAACGTGTATTAGGGCAGCACTTCATAAAGAAACCTGGTCGCAACGCCTGTTGACATTGCTTCCCCAACGAAGCAGCCGACATAGTCGCGATAATGAAAGATGAAGATGCAAGTGACTACGAAAAAGTGAAGCTTCAGCTCAGGAAAAGGTACAGCTTGTCAACAGAAGTCCTGAGGATGAAGTTTCGTAACACAAAGTGTAGTTAAGGGGAGTCATACTCCAAGTTCGGCTACAAATTTATAAGCTTGTTAGAAGAATGGCTTAAAAGCGCCAACGCATACGAGGACAAGCAACGCGTGATTGAACTGATTGCACTAGACCAATTTTATGCATCGATTCCGGAGCAAATGCGCCTGTGGATTCAGGACAAGCCAAACGTCGAAATGTTGCAAATGGCAACTAGTTTGGCTGAAGAGTACTGTTCCCGTAGGATGGAAAGTTCGGAAGACCTGCAAAAGAAACCGTCAAGAGCTTTCAAGAAATTTCAGAAAGGAGCGAGAGAAAGCAACCAAGCGAAACCCGACAACGTTCCCCCCCAAGGACACACGGTCAACCCGAGCGAACTCAAGAGTTCCAAGTTTGAAGAAAAACGGCCATTGACCTGTTACAAATGCCATCAACCAGGCCACATCACCGCAGGCAGCCTAATGTGTCTGCTAATTTGCTAACGGAGGACAGCGGCACGTATGACATGGCGGTGAACGACATCAGTTGCAAGGTTCTGCGTGATATAGAAGCGACATTTGATATCGTACACCCGTCATTTGTTCAGCCCGATCACTTCACAGGATCGTGTGTGTTGGTGCGTCAGGCACTAGAGCTCGACACGAAGTGCTTGCCGGTCGCAAGAATTGAAATTCAAGGTCCTTTTAGTCTAGGAAATTCCAGACTGAAGCGGCTGTTTCGGACAAGCTCCCTCGAAAAATCCCGTACATTTTGTCTAACAGATCGATTAGAGACATGCTAAATGCAGAAATGGAACTTTATTCGAGCCCCGTAATGGTGATCACTAGGTCGCTCACTAGAGCGCACACAGCCAGCGCTACTCCTGCCGCCGAAATTGCAGCTGACAGTGCCGACAGTGCTCCGGCGCAAATTTCTTGCAATGAGCGCAGGCGCCCCAGCCACGCCAGCCACTGAAAGCTCTGATAACACCACTCCCGTCGCTTCCGCGTCCGGGGGCGAATCGATAAGCCGAGTCAGTGAAAATTTTCAGCTTCTGGCCAAGGTTGACAAAAGCGCTCTCAAGATAGAGCAGGCTAACGACGAGTCACTGCAAACGTGCTGGGAAAGATCGACACGGAAACAAAAAGGACCAGTGTCGTTAATTGTCGATGACGGCCTCTTGTACAAAAATTCCAGAACAAAAATGGTCGATGTTTCGAGCAGCTTGTAGTTCCCCAAAAGTATCGCGTTGCGCTGCTGTGTTTGGTTCACAGCGACAGCTGGGCTGGTCATTTAGGAATAAACAAGAC